TGGCAAAAATTGAACTATTTTACCAAACCTTGCAGCACCAACTGTATGGTATTTTCTCTGCTGATTCTTGCGCATACCTTTTTGTAGATGTACCTGTTTGCACAAAGAAAAACAAACTCTTGTTGCAGTCCAGTGATCTGTGAATGTTTTAATTACCATGATGGTAATACCAGCTCACCAGCAGACTACTTAATCTTACCTCTACCGCTGCACTAGCCATTTATTTTAGGTCCTGTTAAGGGTAAAAAGACTAACTGCTCTGCAGATGTGCTTGTCCGCTTTAATTAGTCTTCCTTAAGCTGTGCAAAGAGAAACTGCACTTAATTAGCTTTCCTTAAATTAGGATTGATATACCAGCCTGTATATGTTGATGCTGTCGTTACTGTGTAATAAACTAAGTGCTCTATTCTGCAATTATTCTTCCCAGGTGGTTGATTTGCAAGATGGCAGGCAGAGCCAGCGTGTGAGCTTTGGTTTTAACAGTGCTCTTGTTGATGCCTTGGGGCTAGAGGTGGCTGGGTCAGCGCTCCTGGGCACTGCCTGGGGCTGGTACGGTCTGGGCAGTGTGTGTGTGGCTCATGCTTTCCTGACTCTTGCTTGCAGGTCCACCATGCTCAGTGCGAGCTGTTCCCCAGATCCTCCAAAATTCTTACATGCATTGCCTTGCTCTGGTGCATGAAACTTCTATCCATGAGGAGGAGACAGAAAAGATTTTGTTCTTCCATCAACAGAAATCCTGTGCCAGAGCAGGTCCACTTTTGCAAACCTGCATTAAACATATGTTTTGGACGAAGATGCTGCTGTAAAAATTGGAAGTTTCCACACTGAAATGTTTGGGTTTAATAAATAATAATGAGGAGGCTAGGGAGTTCTTAAAGGCACATAAGATTATCTCTGGTCCTTTCTAGCACAAAGACCAGAAAATCTCTTAACTCTGTGCGTGTATCTCCTAAACTGGTTTCCTTTAACTCACCAAGTTGTGTGTATGTTGGAACGAGTGGACTTGGAACATCTCATTACTTTTGTGAAGTATGTTTTGACAATTTTAAATGAATAAACCAGATTTTTATTAGGTGTAACAACAATGAGAGATGACTCCTTTGGGGCTTTTAAAGAAGAGGGAGAGGGGGATGATCAAGCTCCTTAACCCACAAGGTCACCTTGGCACCCCTCCAGAAGCTGGAGACCGCTGCCAATTTGTATTTACCGGTGGTCAATGCAAATGTGCATGCATGTAGCTGGGCTATTTGCTTGTGCTTAAGCAACGTCTTTGTTAGCAGGTGCATAAAAAGTACTATTGCCTTGAGGTTTAGTCATACAACACACTGCAGGTTGGTTTTGTTATTGGTTATGGTCAGAAATGTGGTCTGATATCTCCAAGACGCCTTGTGCCACAGCCTTTGGGGTATTGTACAGCCAGACAGCATGGTCAGGGGAGGAATTTGAGCGCCTCCTTCCTCTTTGTGGAGGGGACTTGCCACACAGCTGGGAGCAATGTTATTTCTTCACCCAGATGTTTTTTGTCAGCTGCCTCCAGGGTCCTCCCTGGGGGTTTGTGCAGGAGTGGCTGGTGTAGGTGCCAAGGGAGGCGACAGCTTGCAGGCTGCACTGCCTGCACCCAGCCCTTCCTCCCCTCGCTTTTCATTGCCTTGCACCGATTCTCTCCAGGATGAGAGGTGGCTCTCTGCAGTGTGCTGGAGATAAAAGGCAAGACTGGTAGGGCTGGAGGAAAAGCAGAATGAGATATCTGAGAACATGCCTTCCTGGGAGCCCTTGCCCTGGAGGAGCACGCGTGCAGGGTGCTGCCCTCGGGCTCAGTGCTGCAGTCCCATCACTCGGTGGATCGTTTTCTTTCCCGCATGCCAGCCCTGGTTCCTATAGCCATCTGAAACTTGTCCAGTAATAAAAACTGAAAACCAGAAATATAATTCATCACACTTAATAATGCAATTACTGGTGAGCAGAATTTGCTTAGAAAACTTCAACGAGGTGTGCTCCTGTGTGCCAGGATTATCTCACTGCTGTGAACTTTGAGCTCTGCCTGCAAGCTTGAGCTTCTCTTGTCCCATTGACTACCTGGCCATCAGCTCTGCAACACTTCTGCAGAGTCCTTATGCCAGGGAGTATCATTCCTTGTGTTACTTGCTCAGTGACTTTCTTACCTCACCTTGCAGTCTGTGCCCAGAATATACTGCCTGTGACAAGCTACAAGTCCAAATCCCTTGAGTAGTTTTAAAGGAGAAGCAGATCTGTGCCTGGTGGTAAAACATATCCCAGCTGTGCTGCACATAGAAATGCTGGTGAGAAATGCTAAATCGGTATTTGTCTGGACCCCTCTTCAGCTTTGCATCTGTGAGTTTAAGTATCTCAGACGGCGAGCCGTGTCTGTGCCTGCGGTTTGCATGCTAAGAGGCTGCTCGGAGCCCGGCCAGTGCGTCCCGAAGGGCAGTAGGCTGTGCACAAAGCACTGCCCGGGGGCCTGGGGGCTGCCTCCCTGGTCCCACAGGTTTGGGTTCTCTGAACTGGGGCCACCACTGACCTCTGCAGTAGGTTTGACTGACCAAATGCATCTCAGCAAAGCAGCCCATTAGTTGCTGCCATTGTATAAATGTGTTCAGAATTTGGCACCCGCGTATTTATGCTCTCTTCTTTCCAGGGCAGACTGCAAATATGCACTTCATTGAAACCAATCTGCTAATTTTTGAACTGCCTGGAGCTATGATTCTCAGTGAGTGGCAGATGCTTGCGGTTGCAGGCCCCGAACATCTGGGATAAGCTATCTGTTCCCCTGACACAGGAACCCACATTCTCTTTGAAGAAGCTCTTAAACCTTTTTCTTGCTCCCTTGTCAGATAAAGCAAGCCATTAGTGTCCGTTCAGTGTGGTTTGCTCTTTTAAATGAAGTAACTTAAAGGAAGATTTACTACATGTGGCTGGGGGGGGAGTCACGGTGCAGGATGCTGTTGCCTTTATACCCTGTGAGTTAGTGGGACCCGGTGTATCAATACATGCAGGCTGGCACATATGCATGCCCCCATACTTCTGTACTATAGGTGTCTGTGTATCTGCATATCCACGGCTCCCTGAAGAAAGCTGCACAGTACCTTGGAGCGGAAGTATCCTGAAATTCCATCCTTAGGTGGAATTTTAAGGAATATTTGTTTATGGAAGTAAGGTTGTTTGCAAGCCTTTAAAAATTGGTTGATTCCTGGTGCTGGATAGCTAGGCAGCAACAGATCAAAGTCCCAGTGTAGTTGAAAAGATTTTATATCTTTCAGAGTCACAATCTCTAATTTGTTTAGATGCATGTGAAGGATCAGAAACTAACGTGCATCTGGGGATTAAGGCAGCTTTGCTATCCAATCTGAAAGCCAGCATATTCTAAAAGATTTTCAAAGTCTCGGAAGGCAGTGAAGTGCTTTACTGATTTTTATGTCTTTGAAAATCTCTATTTAGTGTGCCTGGTGGAATTTTATAAATACATGCTGCCAGCTGTCTGACACCAACGGATACCACCCAGAGCATTTAAGTACCTAAGTGATAGGGCTGTGAAGATAGAGACATTGCTCTTACTGTGCAGGCACCCATGCAAAAAGACTAAGACTTGCTAATTCCACGTGATGCTTGCTCCTTTAAAAGTTTGCTGTAATTTTTCCCCTGCCAACTCTCCTACCCCAGGAGTATACTGGTGATTATGCTGTAAGAAAAATAATATATGTTTTCATTATGTATCTCTAGAAGGGAGTTGCCATCATGATATGAGTTTTTCTGTGGCAAGAAGAAAAGCAGCAGTCCGATCTCTTCCTTGGCAGCCCCAGCCTATACCATTGTGCTTGGGGATCTTTTAACTAGGGAGGGGCCAAACTTATGCTAAAGGTTAAGATTAAAGCAAAATAAACCAGCAAACCCGTTCCTTTACTGTCTTCACTGCTCTTCAGCTCCAGTCCCACATTCCACACGTAGTTAGGGGGCCTGGGCAAGAAGTTGCTGTAGGGCAGCCCAGGATGAAGGGAGGCCCTAAAGCAGGGGCTTAAGAAGTTTTATTTGTCGAGTGCTTCAGGTTTTGGGTCTTGCTGGTGCCAGGCTCTGTTCTATTAAACTTGCTGATTCCTGAGTCTGGTGCTCTATTTTGTCTCATCTGTCTGGTCCTGGACCGTAGCTGTGGTCCATCTTGGTATGTTCTCAGTTTCCCTGCCGCCCACCGCTACGGGACATACGTATGTGAGCCTTCCAGGGCAGGGCTGCATATTCCAGGTATCACCTTGTACAGCGTACGTGAAAGGGCATTCAGCTTTTCCTGAGTGCCAAGTTGATTTGCTAGATCTAATTAGCGGATTTGGAGCTCTTTCTTTCTATAACTTTCACAGTGTTTCCTAGTGAGCCTGCTTTTCCCTTTGGTGCACAATAGGCAATGTAGATGTTATACAGTATTGCACCCCTTGGGTGTTTTTACTGAGACCAAAACTCTCACTCATTTTTGTTACCATTCAGCTTGGTTTGTAGCTGCCTCTGCTCTGTGCTAGCTGTGCTCGTGGAGTTTCAGATGCTGCGATATCTGCTCTTGTGCATGGGGATGGAAGTTATTTGTGTTCCATTTAGCTTTGCAATTAGGAACAATCTATTTTTACTCTAGCTGTAAGGCATCAAGACTTTTACCTGCTTGTTTTTTTGGAGTGAACTTGATGGGCTAAATTGTTTCAGTTTTGTGGAGGAAAATCAGTAATGAGATGAAAGCTGTTAAAGGCAAGCAGATCAACCAAAAGGAAAAATGAAAAAAAAACCAAACCCCAAACCTAAAAAATAAGGAGATTCACTCGTCTAAAGCCTTTTGGTTTTTTTTAGATTTAGACTTTCAGATTAGGTTGGAAGATGTTTCAACAGCCAGAGTCTTCTGAAAACGTGGTTGTTACTGTCTGGATGTCTCTGATGGTCTCTGTGTTTTGATATCTTCTTCATGACTGGAAGATAAATTTTTCTTTTCTTCTTTTTTCCTTGGATAGGAAAGAATGCATTTTCACCATCGACCCATCAACTGCCAAAGATCTTGATGATGCTTTGTCCTGTAAACAACTCCCTGACGGTACGAGATATATTTTACAAAATACTTCTCAGTGTTTATATCCAGCCGTTGACACATCCATATATGTAATTTGTCATGAAGTATTCTTTACCAAATAAGAGCAGAGTAATAAACTAGTTTTTCTCTTGTTGTTTTAATTGCCTGTTTTCAGAAATCTTAGAGCAGATATCTTCAAGCTGCACTCTGAAGCAGTCTTGGTGTCAGGAAAAGCAGACCCATAGTGTTTTGCATAATCAGAGCTGTAATTTGATTTGAGCAGATCTCAGCTGTCTCCTGTCATTACAGGAGTTACAGCTGAATAGCTAATATGCTGCTCTTGCAGACTGAAGTCTAGTGAAACTTTGACCTTGAATACGCAGTCCCTGGGTAAAGGAATCCAGTTTTTGGAAGGTCACTGGCTGAACTGCTTTTTGGTGTTTATAGGATGCTGGGAATTGTCAGATGAGCAGAGTGTGGCTTATAAGTTGTGTTATTCTTCTCATTGCCTTTTAAGCTTTCTGTTCTGCCTTATTTGTACTTTTACTATGCTGTAAGCCAACAGAACAGAAAGTAAAGCTCCAGAAGCCAAATCTTGATGATTCTGACTTAAGGAACTTCCCTGTTGTAAGCTTACTTTGTCATCCAAGTTCTGCTCATTTAGTTTGATGAGATCCAGTAACAGGCTTGGTTAAAAATACTGCATGATTTGATTAGCCTGTCTGCCACTAATAAAGAAGATAAAGTGATTTTTTTTTTTTTGGATGTGTTTAGTTTTTCTTGCTCTTGTTAATCATTGCAATATGATGATATCAGACACCATTGCCTGGTTTTTGGGTTGATTTCATTCTGTGCAATATGGCCAATGAATTGTCATGTCATTTAGACCCAGGTACAGATTAGTATTACAAGGCTATAAAACTGGTGAAAAAATCAGAGATGAAAGAAAATTTGAGGCCAATAAAATTATTTCTAATTATACTATACAAAAAAGTAGTTTTGAGGCAAGATTAAGGAAAAATTGTTGTTCTATTTCACAGAAAATTTAAACAGTCTTCTTGAGGGATCCTAAGCTGAACTTTGTTCTCCCTCTTCCCAGTTTGTCATTTGAATTATCTGTAGATTTATCACAGTGCTGTGATCCCACAGTCCCTCAGATCTGAGGTGTTGAAACTCTGGCTTCTGAACCTCAACTGATCACATATGTGTGGGTTTTAGATGCTGCAGGAAACCATTCACCGAGCTGGTTTGTGGTGCATACATCTGCATTTTTCTGTTATCCGCCATTTGGAGAAAGTGTTCAAGGAAAATATCTGTTCGAACAAGAATTCTTCTTTCCCAGAAAGTCTGCAAAGCCATTGCAGGGCTGTCGCTCATACTTGGCGCTTGCTGATATTCCTGCCCATCAGGGATGTGGCCGCGCTCTCTGACTCCAGCTGCAGAAAATGCTGTATGAGGCCTCTTGCTGCAGTCTACAAGGAGGGAGACGTACTGTTACAGAAAGGATCCTCTACTTTCAAGGTCCACCCAAGAGGGTTCTAGGTGTTACTTGATTGTGGGAGCTCTGTAGCCTGGCGGCTACAAATCCCCTTGTAATGCAGAGGTGGGTGGCTGCAGCGCTGCCCCATGCCCTGATCAAGCCTCTTTGCAACAAGTCCTTCTCTGAGGGGAAAAAAAAAAAACATGCAGAATTTTTTTTTTTTTTTTTAAAGTTGCCTTCTGAGTGGACTTCATTCGTGCTGCTGCGCTTTGCCAGTCTTCCCTGCTTTGTTGCTTTTTGCTCTTCTCTGTACAGGCGTGAGGCAGAGGGAGCTGCCTGCATGTGGGGGAGAAAGAAAACACCAAAATCCTTTTGGCCTGTTTATTTCTCAGGGGCTGTGTCAGGCTGTGCTGGCCTCCTCGAGCCGCCAGATGAAGGCTTTCCCTGCCCTTCCCTCATCTTCTATGAACACTAAGGAATATGTGAAAGAATCATGTCAAAGCCATGCTTTCAGGGGTTTTCTTTACCTGTGTGTAACACAGGAGCAGGCACAGTTCTCTCTCCCAGGGTATCCTGTTGTTTCAAAGGTGGTCTCGGATGCACTTACCTGAGTGGACAGAGGATGCTTCTGTGGTCAAAGATAACATTTGCTTTTCCCAGGAAATCCAGGCAATTGGGAAAGAAAGCTAAACCAGACTGGACTACAGGGTCACTTGGCATAAAGAAAGTTTGCAAAGCTCAGTTTTTCAAATAAAACAAAAGTGTAAAGTACAGGAACCTTTCTCGTCTTTCAGTTCCCCAAAATACACTTCCTCAGTGTGTTTTAGAAGAGACGTGAAGAAACTGGGAAGGAGTAGGGGACAGGGCATTACTGTCTCCCTGAGAGTAAAGAAGAGATTTTTTTTTGGCTTGTATCCAGAATTTATAAGATGGGAAATCCAGTGTGGATTTAGTTTTTTTTGAAAGTTCCATGTCCATCTCAACATCATTATACACATCCCACTTTCTTCCAGATGAACCTCAGAGGAGAAAATAAGAGGGAGACGGGTAAATGCACCCATTGGTGGCTGTCCCAGCCTGAAGTTCTTTCTTTGCCCCTCTCTCTCATTTTCCATGAACCACTAAGTGGGAGCCTGCTTGCAGCAGGCCTTTGTGTGCCAGATCTCTGCCTTTTGGCTGGAGTTGTGCCTCCTCCAGCAGGCTTGTTCTGCTCTGGGCTCTTCTCAGGGAGAAGGTGCTCTGAGCGGGAGCCTTTTTTAAGAGTGATCTTATCTGTGCCCGTCCTGGGCATCGTGCCCTCTGCCTCTCCTTTTGGCCTCAGGTCTGCCGTGAGAGTGGTGCTCACTCACCATCGCAGCACTGCCTCAGCCTTAGGCCAAGGGAAGTCACCCCTTGGAAGAGCCAGTTTTTGATGGTGGTGAATCCCCCAGGGACCAGGTTTTAAATCAGTGTGGAAAGAACCACCATGGAAATACCCTTTCTTTTATTTTGAAATCTGTGTTGTTTATTCTGAGGAAACTTTTTGGCTCAGAAGTACGGACAGGAAAACAGGCCTTGATGGTCTTTGATGCAGTTATGATCACTTAGGGAGGGAGCTGAGGAGGTGAGTGGGAGCGAGCAGAATAAAAAGACTGCAGGAAACCCTCTGCATTCTTCGAGCAGGCACGGCGGCTGGCCGGCCAGCTCAGTGTGGGTCCCCAAGCAGGTGGACGAAGGAAATCTCAGCGTTGTATCATGCTGCAATGTTTGTTTAAAACAGGAGATATCTCTGGAGCAGAGATGTCCAGTCTGGTAGCTGGAATCATGTCCATCTCCATTTTTAAGGCTCCTGTTGTCATGCAAGGAGATGCTTGCAGAATCTTTTTAGTGAAGATGAGTAGTAAAAGCAATGAAGAACTGTACTGATGGACTCTTGTCCATTATCCTCCCAATGTGCTGCTGTTTGAGGCACAAACTTGATCCAGCATTTCATGAACCTTTTCCTCTGCCAACTGTGGTTCAGTATTGAAATGCTAAATTTCAAAGTTAATTATTTCAAATACTTCCTGATCTGAAGAACCCAATTAAAACATTATTTTGTGAGCCTCCTATAAAGGATATCTGTTTCACATGCAGTTGGCAATATAAGCTATATCCTGTGCCCCTTTCTAAGGTGTCACCTCAGAGATGCAGCTGCTGAGCTTGTTGCCCAAGAGACAAGGTGCTAGATCCTCAACTGGGGTAAGAGCATCACATAGTGTCTGTTCCTAGCAGGAGAAACTAGCAGAAATGTGTGTAGTCACCTGACATACGCACTCTTCACCGCAGTCCTTATTTTGTATCCTGATGGGGGATTAGCATTTAGAGCCAGTTTATAACTACCAGCCTGTTCCTGGAATGGACTGGCCTCTACCCAGCTGGGAAGACTCTTCTCTTCAGCTTCCAGCACTGGGGACTTCAGCCCTCAGACCTGTCCTTTGCAGTTGGCAGGACACATCCAGATCCATCTTAGGTCACAAGTTCCTGGGACATTTTCTTGCATGCAGATTGAATCTCTGTGGATTCATTACTTTTTTGGCCCACTGTGAGCTGATAGCTTTACTCAGTGATTTTCAGCCTGTGGTCTACTGACTACTATAGTGCTACGTAGATTACTGTTATAGGCCCATGAAATGTGTCTGGCAAAAGCAGGGATATAAATCCATCAGCGTATGTGAGATTTTTTAAGATACCTGACTTTGACTTAACATTTTTCAGGCATTTGCAAATTTAGAAAGGTCCAAACGCAGTGCTGGAGTCCTTTGGGTTCACTTCTTTTGTGTTCACTTGCTTGCAAAGCTATGGCTGTTCCCAATTCTTGGATGTTAAGGAGAGCCCCTATGGGAACCTCAATCTTATGCTTAATAGAGCCTCTTCATATGTTTTGGAGGATTTTTGGCTCTAAAAGTTGCTATGCTAGCTGCAATTATTATGACAGAGTTGTTTTAGAGGTTAAGAGCTTATCCAGGGCTGGCAAGACTGCATCTCTCATGAGGGCAAAGTTGTGTTAAGAGTTAACACGGTTTTTATTCCAAATGCAAACGTGGTTACAAGAAATTATTATTTTTTCCATCTTTTTTGCCCATATGTAAAACACTTTAAAAAACACAAAACACCACCAAAAAAACGCAACATGAGCAAACCACATATCTGGCATCCTCATGATGTCAGGAGATCTCCAAAAAGCAACAGAGAATGCAGAACCCAATTCAGAAAATGTCTCTCTGTTGGTGTATAGCACCCGTAATAACTACAAGAAAAAAGAAACCACTCATTGCCTGCACTTCTTCTATCAGACAGCTAAATCAGTGCCTTTCAGAAGATTTTGAAGTATGAAATTGTCTTTGTCCACAAGCATTTGTGGCTAATTTATTCAAGACTGAGGCATTTTCTTTGCCTTGAAGGATCTTAGGCAACAAGCAGAGAGATAAGGGACTGGTTTTGCACCTTCACTTATTTTTAAAACTTCTCAGTGTAACCCTTATCAGTTCAAGTTACTGGATGGAGGACTCACCCATGCTGCATC